GAAAATCTGGATGCACAATGTGAGCATTCCATTTGGATACTGTGTAGCCTGTTCTGCAGATGAGGCTCAGAAATCACATTTGAATCAGTAATTTTCCTAACTTGAATCTGGGATTTGCATTCAAAGATTTTTCTGATTTAAAAATAAACACCAGAATGGGTGTTTATCTGAGCAGTAACTGTACCTTCAGCAGAGATCAACAAAGCACCAGTGGTCAGTGCAGTCATGAGCATTTCCTCTATTTGCTGTGGCCACTCCAGCACAGAGTCCATACTCAGTTTCAGTGTCACCTGGGCCAGTGTTTACCATAATAGAGGCCCAGTACTGATGTCCAAGATTAAATTCCTGAATTACAAGAAGGAGTCTGAGGTTGTATAGTTTCTGTGTTTCCTCTGTCCTCAGGACATACCTAGATACTGCAGCACTCCCATATGGCATTGATATTATTAACAGCTGGTAGCATTTAGCCATCAGGACTTCAAATCCTGCTGCTGATTCAGCACCTTTATGCCAATCTGTCAGTGGGCCAGCACTGCAGCATTCGCCCTTCAGCACACCCACATGGGCAGCCTATCTTCACACAGTGACTCTGAGACACAGGACTGCAGGAAATCCTCTTAAAAACATGCCCAGGTCGTGCTGAACCTCTCCATCTTCTGGCCTGATCTCAGCTTCCAGCCAATGTGAGCAAAGCTGGGCAGTAACACACCCTGTGTCCCTCCAGCCACACCCCAAATACTCCTCACCTCTTCCCAGGACTCTATACTGTTATGTGCTGCTTGTCCTTGTCCAGCAGAAGACAGGCCAGTGACACAAAGAAGTCCTTCATCCAATACTGGAGATGAGAAGCAGATGGATTTGGGCAGACAATTCCCAATTCACTTTTCAATTTTTATGGTTTTTCAACACTTATTGATCATATGGTATCATCCATTAATAACTTGTTATCTAGCCAACGTCCAGCTAAAATGTGGTCTGATGTTTATTTGAGCAAACATTCCAATTTCACATGAACAACGTTTTTTATTCAGGCACAGATAAATGATGGTCAATGACCTCCAGGACAGTTGACATTTGTATCTGATATTTTCAAGCCCTTACCTCAGAATATAGGTGAGGCACCATGAATGCAAGAATAGGAATATTCAAATGAAAGAGAAGATTTTAAAAAGCAAGACCCAGACACCAAAGTTCTTAAGATGGGTTTTAAAAGCAAGGTTTTTATAAAATAAACTAAATATAAATTCTATTTGTGTGACTTCAGAACCTACTATTGCACACATTTCATAGTTAAGCATTTTCTTCTGCATCTGAGATGTAGAAATCCCTCTGACTCCATTCTTAACATCAAATTCTTAACCTCACCTTTTTCCCCAGCCTCTTAAGCCCCTCTGCAAAAAGGTCAATCTTTCAACATATCCTTCCAGTCATCGATTTACAATTAAACTGTTTTTTTCAAAAAAGCAGTTTGCAGCCAAAGACACTGAGGACAAGACAAGGAATACTGACACCTTTTTTATTCCTTGTATTAGTCCTTGAGACCTCCTAAGCAATGAGACTTCTGTAACTACATTGTCAACCTGATCGCTTGACAGTTGGTCTCCTCCAAATAGCTTTTGAACTTAAGGTCTCTTGGAATGAAATCTGATAGACAAGGTGATGAAACTTCTACAAGTTTGATAAAAAACTGGTGACTGGTAAAGAAAAATAAGCTGCAGGCAGAGAGAGGAAGCTGGAGTTGGAGCTGCTGCTCTGAAAACCATAACCAAAGCAAATTTGTCTAACATTGCATTTGCATTAGGGGCATCCTGTTTACACTCAGCAGATAAAAATAAGACATGTCACATTTACATGTTTTTCCATCCTACTTGGGGGCTTTCCTGTTCCGTGCAGCACCACCCCAAGAACTGCAAATCTTTTTTGGTTTTTGCATCAAGACCAATAAGGTCTGAAGCTCTGGGGAATTTCAGATTGAAATAAAAGAACCCAGCCCAGAATTCACCTCTAAGCAACTGGAACCACATGTGTCTGTGTTAGCTGGGCTCTGGCTTGAGAGCAGGAACAGGAGTGGCTGCAGAGCAGCTCAGTACGAGATGGGAAAGGCTTTGCTGCCTGCACAGGTGACTGAGCTGTGCCTTGTGGTGACACCAACCTGGGCATGGAGCACTTCTGCAGAAGGCAGAGAACAGTCTGCTCATAGCAGCTGCGCTCCTAAGAAACCAGGGATCTCTGTAAATAGTTACAGCTGTACTTCACGAAAGGAGGAATTGGTTATTGCATATAATCTCCTTTATGTGTCAGCTGTCCTTTCCCTATCCCTCTAGTTTAAAGTTATATTTATTACACATTTCATACAACGTTTTTCAAGTGGGGAAGATAAGCCTCTTTTTGATGTGTTCTCCCAGTGCTCTGGAGAGGTTTAGGATGGATGCTGATTATCATATCCTTAAAGTTTGGATGTGGATCACCCCTAACTGTTGCAAGTCAAGCCTTGGTGAAAGTCATAAACGAGGTTTTGATACACTACACAAGAGAAATTTATATTCCTTCCAGCAATCTGTTTACAGAGATAGCTTCATTAAAGCAATACACAAAACTTAAAAGTAATAAATATAAAAACAAGATAAGTTTTTTTAAAAGATACCAAACTGAAGAAGAAGTGATAAAAATAAATTATCCTGACTTAAGTACAACCAATATTTAATTAACTGCTCTTACTGTGCCTGGAGTTCTTGTCAATGCTTTACTTTAATAATAGAGTCCAATCTTTCTTTTCCAAAGAAATCAAGGACAAAACTCTCTAGAGTGGGAACAGAATCTTACTTTATGTCCACAGTCTATTTTGCAGGAATTGCACATTTTCCACTGTTTATTCATACTGTTTCAATTTCATACATAAAATATACATAAACTATGGGCAAAAAAAATGATGAGTGTCACAATGAACAACCCAGAACAGAACAGGAAAAAAAGAATAATCTGCAAACAACAGACGGCTGAGGGAATTATGTTATAAATCACCTAATCCAATGCCTTTCTTCAGTGTTACTGCCCATTTGAAAAAATTAACCGGTGTTGTAATAAATAAATTGGGATGAAATTTGGAACACAGTAATAATGGGAATTTTGTTTTTAACTGATGAGATATATTTCAAATGTCTTTGATTATTTACACAACATTTATTACATTGCTTTTTTTCCCCATCTTCTGGAAGAGATTCTGAGTAATTACAATGAAATATGATAAAACCAAACCAAAAGAAATCCCTATTTCATCAGAAGAGCTGTACATCCAGCCCAGTATCCATCTTTCCCAGTGGCAAAAGACAATTGTGGTTAGAAGCTTATGACCTGCCCCTCTCAGCAAACCTTTCCCCTTGTACTTTTCCAGCACCCAGGATCATAGTAGCAGGGACTTGAAAGGGTACTCTTCTGCTGAGTCCTTCTAGTATCCAGGTAAGGACCTGCTGCCCATGGATTTTCTAAGCAATTTCTGTCCCCAGTGACAGTATTTGCATCCAGACCTTTCTGTGGCAACAAGTTCCACAAGTGGGGGGACTACTTTTAACCATTTTAAACTTAGTTATGATGGTTTTGGGGGCTCCTGGTTCTAATATTGTAAGATGCTCCATCTAGCTTATCTATTACCAGAGAACTGTTAAGTGTGTCCTGTGAATTATGAACAAAATCTACTGCTCCAGCTCAGCTCATTTTAAAACATGGTTTCTTAGACAACAGACATGCTAAGAGGTGGAATTTTTTTAAATGAAGATTAATGAAATGAGGCAATTGATAAGGATGATTATGCACTGTATTTTTGAAAGTTTCTAAAAAAAATAAATGAAAAAACCCTTCATGGTCAAACCAAGACAAACCTTCATGTAAATCCAAGTCATAGAATTGTAGCATGCTTTAGGTTGGAAGGGATCTTAAAGATCATCTAGCTTCCAGCCCCCAAGCCAATTATACAGCCAGCACCTTTTCTGTGAAAAGTTAATCCAAACTTCACATCAACCTAGATTTGGAAAATTCCTCATCTGAGCCTGACCTTGTCATTTTGGACTCATTTTACATTTTTGTATTTTCTTATTCAGTGTTTGAATTTTGTATTCCATCTTCAGCCACTCCCTGACAAGCAATTACTGTCTTTTAAGAATGTCTTAAATTACCCTGAATAAAAGATTTTGAATTCACTGAGACAACATCTCATCCTTTCTGTTTAGGAGAGGATATTGGCATATACTTGAAAGGATAGGTACTGCATTATTTTATTAAATACAAAAAGAAAAATTAACAGCAATTCTCTAAAGAAGTCAATGAAGGCTCCCACAGCCAAGAAGCACACAGAACTGCTCGGGTTGAGAATGCAAAGGCAGCTTTATGTAACATTTTGCCATAGATTACTTGGGTATTAGGCCAGCCAGTCCCTTTCTGAGTACCACTCTGAAATTATGCAAAACTGATAGAAATCTGCTCTAAATTTTCTTGAGCTGGGGGAGTAGCAGGTACTCACAGAGTAGCTACAGACCACCAGCCCGCAGTGCACCTTGAGCTATATTCCTTTTCTACATCCGAATTAATTCCTTTTTTCCCTTGCACTAGTTGCCTGGTGGTTTAAGGATCTGTAAAAACAGGGATATGGGTATAGCCATAATTTAACCACAAGTATTTCAGCATATTTTCAGTTCAACTGTTTTAATAACAAACAGAAGACTAAGATTGTGTAATATTTGCACACACAAACTGGACCTTCTTACTGCCAGGCTCAGCCTTAGTTAGAAGTAAGTACTTTCCAGGGTAAAGCACCATTGCACAATGGCTGCTTAAAGAATCACGAGTAGGCCCTTTGATGGGTAGTACAGAGTGTTATAAAGCCTTCTTTCCTCAAAATCTGCTCAATCACTATATAATCATTTACCTGCTGTTTGCAAATGTTAATCCAGGGTCAAGGTAATGGCTGTCTGACACGACATTTAAATTTATATAAAACCATGCTCTTTTAGCATTCATTTATGACTTTGGTGGGCTGCTCTGATTGAAAAGCAGGCTGGCTTTATCAGGGCATGGGCACAAGTGATCTAACACTGCAAACAAAATGCTGCTTCTAGCTTCAGCTTTTTTTCTAACACTACTGCAGTGCTCTAATGCCCAAAATGAAGCAAGCATTACACCTGCAGACTGTAACACCATTGAAAGAGATGCAGGAGTGGCCCTGGATTTGCTCAACAGGCATCGCAGAGATGGTTATGTTTTTGGTTTATTCCGTGTTGCTGATGCACATGAACTACATTTAGTAAGTATGAACTTAAAGGCTGATTTACACAAGACTGTGATTTTTAAATAATGAGCCAGGTCATTAAGAGCTTATGTTTATTGCTTTTACTAGAACAATGTTGATGCAATCCAATGAATCAGCTGTGATTTGCACCACCTCAATATTCATTTGTGTATGATTTATTGCACATAGTCTTGATTTCAAACAATGCTGAATGGCTTTCCTTCTCTTGGTCAGCAGGATGCTTGCATAAGAGATGCTCTGAACAGCTTTATACAACTCTGGAAATTAATCTGTCCTGTCTGATGTCTGGTTTCAGATGTTATACTCAAAAATTACATTCAGAAGGTTTCTTTAATCTATGAATGTCTAACATTAATTAGACCAATGTATCCTGCAAGATTGGCATTTTGTTATTATCTTAATTTCAGAGAGAGCTGTAGAAAAGGAAAAAGCCAGAGGAAGTCAAAGGAGTTGCTACTCTGCAAAACAGGGGAGGGACTGGATAGGGAATCCCTATCAGTCATTTCCTGTTTCCTTTTTATTTCTACTTCTGTTTTCTAGAGAAGATACATAAGCCTTTCTCAATGACTGTCAAAATGCCAGAAAAAATCAATGGCAGAAAAAGCAACAGAATAAAAATGTCTTTAACTGGTAGCTTTTAGCTGCTTGACTATGAAACTGGTATTCAGGCACATGTACACTGTCCCAGAAGTCTTTGTATGGCAACAGAAAAAACAGCCTAGTTTTTGATGGAACTGCTTTGTACTGCCTGTAAGGACAAGTAAAGACTCAGAAAGTGACCCAAAGCCCAGGCTGTCACAGGTCTTCAGGCACATCTGCAAAAAAACCTGATGGATTATTTTGCTTTTCAAAGACAAGAATGCAGCAAGTTATACCATTGGGTTTTACACAGTAGCCAGGCAGTTAAAGAGCTTCATCTAGGATGGATCTCTTCTGCAATAAGAGATTTAAACTCTGAAGTCTCCTGTCCTTGAAGAATTCTGCTGCCATGTGTATGCCACCCCTCTGAAGTGGTACCACTAGGCAGTAAGACATACGAAATGTGTTGGACGAATGATAAAAAACAAAGTTGTGTCTAAAAAGAAAAATCTCAGTGTTTCTACATTTTAAGCAACTATTGACTATGTAAAGTATAAACCATAACTTGGAATATGGACTAGTGCTGAGGATTCACACTTCCAGATGCATGTTATAAGCACTAGACTACCACGTTTATGTTTTGCTTTGTACCCTTAATGAATTTTGCCATCCTTGCAGTCCAGGGCCACAGCTTCAGCTGTCACACAGTGTCTACGAGAACAGAAAAGACACTGCTATCTATCTGACTGCTGAAGAATCCTCCCTATAAGGTCTCTGTACCTTCTCAGACCCAAAGCCACCAGATGTGACCTCCTGCACAGTAAATCATGTACACAATTGCACAAGAACTTTTTTTTTATTCCACTGCCAAGACAACATTAGGAATATGTACATAAAAAAACCCAAAAAATGAACAAAAAAAATAACACCCCCCCCCAACATTATTTTTGTTTCTTCATGCAACAGGCTTACTACTTCAGTGCCCTCAGAAACCTAAGCCAAGTAATTCCAGCCAAATTGCTTCTGGGTTCACATAGGAGTTCTAGAAGCATAAGATACTCAAGTATCCACAACAAAGCAGTTCTGGACTTGTGCAGAATTGTAGTGAGCAAAATGCTTTTAGAACAACCAAGAAGGCACCATTTTTTCCCCCCAAGATCTATTGAGTAGATGAACAGAGGAGTTTTCTACTGCGTATTTGGATGTAGACATTTAACACCTATTTTAAAATTAGAGCCAATACAAATATTGCAAAAACAGTGTTTAACATGACATTGGTGGATTCTCACTAATGAAAATATTACACTAGACTGCAATAATAAAGTCATATCATACATTTCACAAGGTCATATCTATACAGAAACACTCCGAAAAAGGATGGAATTTCATAAAACCCAAGTACACTTACTCACACTGAAGGGCTTTGCATGACTTTATCTAAATGAGAAAATAAAATACAAATGCATTTATTCTGAATGTCCATACAAAGGCTGAATGAAGTTTAAATAATCCATTCCAAAACTTTCTGTAGGCCACAGAAAATTCTTAGCACCACATCCCATTACACTGCCATCCAAATTCAAATTTTAATTCTTCTAATCCTATTTGCTCAGGAGATAGAATATACTAGAAGAGTTTCAGAGTTAAGTATTCTGACTGGGATTATTAGAGTTTTGGTGCATCACTCCCTGAGTAAACTGAGAAGGAAGCAAAGTTCTGAAAGAGCATCTGGTCACGAAGGTAATTTGAAATGGATGTAGGTACATAATTGGCTGCCTAAACAATTAATGTTCTAATAGAACAGTACATTCTATGGGAAAATCAGAAAGAGGGAATGGCAACCTTTTAACACTGGCATTTTCCATACTTGATGAATGTCAGATTAACAACAGACACTTCTCACAGATTATCAACAAAAGGATAAGAGGAAATAATTGTAAGTTGCAGGAAGGGAAATTCTGACTATATATAAGGCTAAAAAAAAAAATCACGGAGAAAGTTGTTAAATACTAGAATGGCCAAGAGAGGTTGTGGAATGTCTGTCTTGGTGATACACAGAATGCAGTTGAAACTTTGAAATTTCAGCTTTGCCTTGAGCAAGGGGCTGGGCAAGATGACCTCCAAAGGTCCCCTCCAGTCTGAACCCTTTCTATGCTTGTCAGCTCTGAAAAAGCTTAATAGAGAACTGGGGAAGCTTCATTAAAGATTAAGCATATAGTCTTCAAAAAAAGTTTATTTCAGATCAAACTTCTTGTCTACAAACTCTTTTTCACTTGCACTTCTCTTCCAGGGAAATTCAACAGTCCTCTACTTAACTTTGGATGTGCTGGAAACTGAATGCTCTCTCTTATCCAGAAGACACTGGGAGTCCTGTGAATACAGTGACACCTACCCAATGGCAAGCACTGGCATCTGCACCAACTCATACACCAATAATGCACTAACTTGATCTTCATCTGAACTGCCCAGAAATTTGTGTCACAAAATCTCCAAGTGAAGACTGGGCTTTAATATAGCTCATTCTAAACCAAAATCTAATCTAATTCTAGAATTGCTAAACATATGCTAAAGGTTTGGGAAAGGACTGACTCTTAAATAAGTATAGCTTTATTTAACTTTTTGTCTCAAAGGGACTATACTCCACATTCCACTGCTTGTAGCAGAACTTATGTTTTAAGGGTAATTTGCTGACAACTAAAGGGCACTAGAAATTATTTTTTAAGCATATTCCTGGTATATGAGCCAGAAATACCAGAGGTGTATTTTGTCAGTTTCCTGTCATAGCATTTCAGGTGGGACAATGTGAAATATCGGTAGTGTCAGGACATGAACAATATTTGTCCTTTCTCCTGCACTCCAATGATGAGAACTCCCAGCCCAAAACTTCTGTTTTGATACTATGACAAAGGATAAAGCAGAAAGCCCAGGAGGACAGAAGAGACATTTTTTTTTAATGGAGAAAAGGAATGGATGAATCCACTTTTGACAAAGATTTGTGTAAACTGGCATTCTAACTTTCCCTGCCATCTTGTCTTATCCTATTCTAAATAAGTATCAGGATGACTAGGAAAGCTGGTTCAGTTTTCCATCGTCTACTCAATTGTGCAAACTGACAATTAAAATAAAGGCTCTTGTAGAGAGAGATCCCATTTTATCTGAAGACAAATTTTGCGTGGTACCTGATCAAACATCCCATTAATGACCACATCTGTTATTCTTAGAGGTACTGCACATTAAAAGGAGGTACAATTTCTATGATCACCTACATCCAATTAAATCCAGAGAAAATAACATCATAATCATGTATTCTTTTTTCCTCTCAGGACTTTGGGCAATGTAAGATTATAACATATACAAACCATCTGCTGAAGAAACCTCAACTATATGGATTTAATTGTACATTAAGTCCAGGTAAAATAACCACTGCTGTATGCCCATGCATACCTCAAATCAGCCCTCATACCAAAGTCTGTACACTACCAGTGTATGAAAACCATAACAGATTCATTCATCTGCTTGTAATTCATATTTTAGATAATTCAAATGGAATGTTAAGAATGAGTAATAGAATTATGGTTACCCTACTCCTCTAAACCAGACTTTATTGATGTCAGATGATATCACCATTCTAGTCCACCAAAATATGATAATGAATATCAGAGCAAATGTAAACTTGGGAAGACTGCATGTTTGGGGTGGTAAGAATCTAAGGTGATTTATAAGAATATCCATTTTCATGGGTTTGAAGTTTTTTCACATTACAGGGCAAACCCATTATTTGTGGAGCAAGGGACAGGTATCTCACTTCCAAGGAAATGCTGCATTTAAGTTTCTCATTATTAGTTCACATTAAGGGCATGGGCACACTCCCAAGAGTATTATTATCCACTATAATATTAGTAATTTTTTTTTTCACAGTTCCATCTGACTTAGTAGAGTGCAAAGATTGTCCTGTGAAACTTGAACTCTTAGAAGTCACTGAGCAACATAAAGATATTGCTGAAAAGGCCCTGAAGAAATTCAACAGTGAAGGTAACCACACAAACAGCTTCGCTGTGGATAAAGTTGAAAGAGTTTTAAAGATGGTAAGTGGCATTTTCTCCTAGAATTACCTAGAAATGAAACAATTTTGTGAGCAGCTCCAAGACTGTGGGATCAGAACTCGAACCCTTCTAGTATCAGATCCATGATGAAGGTCCTACTTTAGCAAAGACTTGTTATCAACTTAAATTTAGGTGTGTGAAAGCAAAAGGATTTCTCATTTGCTGAAGAACTATGGCAGTGTAATGGCATTCAGAATTCAAGGCCCTCTTTGTGTACATATTTTAATTTTGAATGCCTATTTACCTATAATGGCATACATGAGTTTATTTACTACTGAGCAGACTTCGAGATGGACAGTCATGTATTATCACACTCACATGTTTTTTTCAGTTGCAGACAGATAATTTTTTACTCTTAGAATATTTAGCATATGGGTAGAACAAACAGTGGAACATGCTCAACATCATTTTGACTCTTGCTGCAGAGCAAAGCAGCACTCTGAGGGCGGGAGGTGAATTTGTGCTATAACTCTTGAAGAACTTCTGGGTCTGGTAAATATCTACATATCTAAGTGATGTCAACATGAAGACTTATTAATATACTTCAGATCACCCAAAGGATAACAAAATTTCTTGTTGGTAGATACTGGAGACTTTCACTTAAACAGCACAGGATCATTCTGCCAACACATGTGTCAGCTCAGGACACCTCTGTAATGAGGTCCCATGGCTCCCACCATCATACAGGCTGATCTTGGAAACTGCCTAAAAGATAGCATGCCAAACCCACCTCCCTGCAGCTTTTAATATTGCTCAGAAACCTGACAGTGTCCAGCACTGTAGCCCTGTGCATGATGTATCCCTACTGCCATTTAAAAAGGGATTGTTTTCACATTGCCTGGCTTCATGTGTTTCTCCCCAAACACTTCGTTTTCACACTTCACCATCTTCAGCAGCGCTTTACATTGTACCACTGATTTTTAACACCCAGAAACTATGAATTACAATAAAAAACCATACCATAAAGTATGTGCATGCACTTTTAACCAATTTAGTTAAACTAGTGAAACTCGCGTGTGCACACATGCTAAGGACACCTTCAACACAGACTTGAAATTAAAGTACTGCTATAGTTGGAAATTAAAATGAAACACCTTTTTATGGATTTTAATAGTATCACAAAGGCTTTCTCCCATATTTGTATGGAGTAAGGCCTTCTTAATAACTAATGCCCTTGACTTCAGAGAAAGCAATACTCTCACAGTAACTGGCAGAATTTCACCTCAAATTAACATCAGCACTGTTGTACTATGCAGTCTCATCTCTGGAAAGGGGTGGTTGCCATCCAATAGATCTCTTTACTTTCACAGGAGCAGCAGTTCAGTTTAGGGAGAAGACTCTAAGGACACTACTTCCTAAAAACACAGGCTGTAAAAGTAACAGATTTTATAACACACACATACTGAACAAAGAATTAAAGCAAGCGTTTCTGGAAGCTGTAAGGGTGTGAGATATAAATTATCTAACCTGTTTCCCTTGGTGAATATGTGCATGAAGATTTGAACAGGACAGGTAAGGAAAGCATGAGGTAGATGGGATTTTGACAATAAGATGATGTATGGTTGTTCTGAAAATTACAAGAATTTAAATACATCCAGTTACCATTTCTTCTTTGACCTCTTGGTTTCAGACTGCCTCCCGTCAAGGTCACATTTTAGGATTCTCTATAAAAGAGACCAACTGTTCCAAATCTACGCAGGAAACAGATCAGGCATTGGAATGTGATTTTCTGCATGACTGGCATGCTGTAAGTAAAGTCTTAGAACGAGAACGGATATAATGGGTGGTACCAGGAAGATTCTACCAATGTATTTTCAAGTGTTTACTATAAGCATGTACCCAAACTCAAAAATCTAGCTTGTCCAAGCCCAAACTTCTCCTTTATCTTTTATAAGGAAACAGTTTGAGTCTGAATCTTAATGTGACTGGAATCTGGCATGCTAGAGGCCTAGAGTTTTTCACGTTGTATCTGGCTTTTGCATTCAAATTGTGGCCAATCCCTAGCAAATCATTCATGCTATGCCCATAAAAACTTTTACACCAATATGAGTCATAGAACCTGAAAAAAAATACTTGTCTTATGTCATCCCAGTGAGCTCAGGGTCACTTTTTTCTCTGCTGCAGAGGAATGGAGAGTGGAATAATTCAAGCTCATCTGCAGAAAACTATTCTCTTCACCCCATTTTTCCATTACTAATAGTCTACACCAAAGAAACAGCTAGGCAAGATCTCAATTTCAGAATAAATTATTCCCCAGAAATTAAATTGAAATAATGAAATAAAACATGGAAAAAATAACATGTAAAACTTTACGTTTATATACATTCATCACCTTCTCTGACTTCTTATACTCCAGAAGAGGCAAAAGGTTGTGAATTAACTGGTAAGGCAGCCACAAGTTCACTAAAACAAAGCACAAGGCAAATGGCTATAGAGGGTCTGAATTCTGTTCTCAGTGCTGCCATCACTGCTCCTTGTGTGTAAAATGCCATTACCATTTCTAGTCACCGATTGTAATAGGCTACTAATGGCCCAAATAAATATCAAGACAAAGTATCCAGTACAGAGAGCACAAATTGAGCCCATCACCTGAGTTCTGTGCTCTTCGGTAGGAGCAATTCCACACACAACGACTGGACAACAAAAAAAGTCACAGCAAACAGGATGCTAAGGGAAGTAATGCAAAAAAATTTCAACAAATTGCTTTTTAAAAAATAAATGGAAGAAAGCTCTGCCTTGAGCTTTGTCTGAAGCAGCATAGCTACAAAGTGACAGGTTTTGAGAGCTTTGAGCAGAATTACAGAATAGTCCAATCTGAAGAGATGTTTGACAAGCAAAGACAGAAAAAAAAAAAAAACCCAAGGAAGAAAAAGACACCCAACGGTACTCATTCTGGAAGCATTAGTAGCTGTCCAATCTCTTAGACACCAAAAGGGAAGTGAGATGCAGAGTAGCAGCCCTCTAGGTGCACATGGCAAAGTGCATCTAGAGCCCATCACAATTAAGAACCCTCAGAAATGGCACATATTTTAACCATTATAAATCACTGACAAGCATTGGTTGGAAGGCTCAGGATCTGGCTAAGTTATGTGAATAACTCAGGCTCAGGTGTCAAAGGAATAGCCTAACTGGTAAAATGTTGAACATTCAGTAGTTTGTATTAATTCAATCACAAGAACACAGATATGCATTGTGGGCTTTTTTCCTTTTCTTTTGCTTAGCACACCGGATTCTGCAAAGCAAGAATTATCAGTGATGCAGATGAAGCTGATGGTACAGATATAAGCTGTGAAATCTACAATCCCTGGGTATGTATTCAGTTATGGACACATCTCTGGCTGTATCCTCATGCAGGTTACAGCAACCTTGCTTAGTCCAGACTGGCAGATGATCATAACATTCATGCCAATTTTCTATTGCCTGGGTGTGATGCAGCATGTCAGGACAGACTGACCTGCAAGTCCTAGGTCAATCAAAGGACAAATCAGAATTGAGCTGTCCCTACTACTCCTTCCAAGTGTGTCTTCTCTCAGTTCAATCACTTGACTACTAAGTGTAAGTGAGTAGAGATTGGCAAACAAGTTCAAAGCAATTTTAGAAAGCAAGAGGAGGGGAGATGATCTTTATCATATTTGGTATTCCAGTTTATATCAACACAGCTACTCCAGTGTGGATTTATTTTGTTTGATCTATCACAAATATTTCCCAGCTGGTTATATAATTTTGACATGGTGTATACTGTTTCCAGCAGATTTTCAGTAACTTGGTATTTTATTATCTACTCCTTCTCCTCCATCGTGAAAAAATGCAAATTTTTTTCTTAAAGATCATCAGAATTATGAATGCAAACCTACTAACTCTCACCTCTCTTTTCCTCATCAATTTCTTCTGACCTATCAACACATGATTAATACTTCCCTGGTGTTTTCATAAACAGCACCATGGCTGTGGGCGAAGAGGGAAATATTCAGCTCTGGGACATCCACACAGACATCCCCATTATCATCCTTTTGGTCAAAGACATCGCCATAAGCATCACCACAGACATGAATGTCCCCCCTCTTCTCAGTCCAGACCTGAAGACCCTGAGCACAACCCCAAATCCATCAAGGAAGATCAAGACAGCAACAAAGAACCTTCTTCTCCCCCTCCTCCCCATGATGAGCCAGACCACCACCATCCTACTCCACCTCCTCATGGATCAGATCACGACCACCCTCCTCACCACCACGGACCACCCTGTCCTCCTCCCCACCATCATGGACCAGATCACGACCACCCTCCTCACCACCACGGA